TCAGACCTGAGGGGCGGAGCCAAGATGTCGCAATCTTACTAAGAACAGCATCATCGAGTCAGGCTGGTGAGACACACTGAGCATATTAGACGTGCCCAGCCAAAGTGAGACTTTACAGTCAGACGGTCAGGCTGAGGGGCCACGTCTGATTTGTGATCTCATTATTAAAAGGACCTTTATTTCGGCAGCAACAAAAGACCAACTAAATGACTACTTTTTCATTTCTGTGCCGTCACCAACTCGGACGCGTCCTCTAAGCTAGTTAAACTTTCTTCGGACAATTCCTTGTGTGTCGTATCGCAAAACTTACAGTTAAGTGCGTTTAACAACGTTTAATCAAGTTTTATTTGTCCGGTATTCGCCGTGAAAGGTCTAAAACTATACCCGACCACCAAAGGACGTTATACCAACAGTGAAAATCAGGATCCAAGAAAATATTGTCCATGCAGGACGCGTTCATTCAGCGGGAATAAGGAACAAAGACATTCGTGCCAACAATTGAAGATCTCTTGGTGTTGCCGCCAGACTCACAAGTATCAATTTGCTCAATCTCCAGGACAAAGAAAGGGACAGGATACGCATGGAAAAAGTCTAAATGTGCACGAATATCTTCAAAACACTTTGAAGCCGGAGATACTTTTCAAATCACCTACTGTATAAGGCACGCGCCTCCTTTCAAACTGACTCCTATTTATTCTGCATTCATTGGAGACGACATTTTCTTTCTTATGCCGAGACGTAACTACAGCTGACAGTTTTTCAGTGCCCATTTCATAATATTGTATGTTTTTCCCCTGTGGAAATGTTCTCTGACAAGTAGACACAACTAAGTGCGCCTGTAGTTTTCATTGTTCTGTTTTGGAGAGGAGCGGGTCCTTTGTCTAAGCAGCGAGGTAAGTCCTGCGAACCTTTAAGCGTCACATTAACCTCTAGAATCACTATTTAGTACAACCAACCAAGAGTCCTTAAGATTAGTTCAATTATTGATCAACTTTCCCATTTAAACGATTATTGAGAAACACTTTGTGGTTAAACTTTACATGGAAAGTGATGCAGCGTATGTTGTTGTTTGAACCTTGTCAACTTGGATATCACATCCTATCTCTTGAGCATTTTGAGCATATTACTTAAATCGTTTATTCAGCTGAGAACTTTGGTGTAATGTTTTACGTTTGTGCTAAAAACCGCTCGCTCTGGGGATTTAGGTTCGAGTCCGACGTGACCTGGGTCAAGTTCCGAAACCTCACACACGAAAATGTTTAAAAATAGTCTTCTAAACAAAACCAAAAAATACTAATATTTTTAATAGAAAAAGTTAGTTTAAATGGTGAAGTGGAAGAAACCAGGCTACGTCATTGTATGACGTACGCTTAAATGTGTAATAACCATAGACTGTATGGTAATAACTGTATGACTCACAGGCGCCGAGCAGCATTTCGAAAAGAACTTGAGTCAGTATGATCGAGCAACCCTGCTCATCACATAGTCATTCAACAGTTTTAAATTACCTCCTTTCATTACACAATATTAACGAACCTCCCATTCTTGTTGAGTTAGTTAGTTAGTGTGAGATATTATAGTGTTGAATTGTGGCGCAATAAAATCAAATGCACTCATTTTTATCAATTTTCCTTTTCACCTTTGTGCATAGACTCTTCATTCTTCATCCAATATGCCTTTATGGTACGTTAAGTCATGCTGTCACAAGGTCATGAACTTACCCAGTCTTGTTTTTGTCACAGATGAGTATGAACCTGTCAACTCCTACACCTCCACTGCGACTGAAGCGAGTAGACTTTGAGGACTCTCACAACACCGATACCATCAAATGCAAGCGCCGCAGACTCAGCCAACCTCCATCCCCGGGTCTCGCGCCCTGTCTTCGCCCCCTGTCCCAGAGCCATGAGCAGCCGGGCTCAGAGAAGCACCATGTCTCACGTATTGGGCCCTACATCTTGCTGGAGGCCACAGAAGGAGCTCAGACGTTCAGAGCGGTTCATCAGGTCACGGAACAGGAGTACACATGCAAGGTGAGCATAGATGCTTCATTATAGTGGATTTAAAATAGTTTCTGTTAATATAAGTTGATGTAGTGAGGGATCAATAATCATCTTGTTTTGGTATGTTGCCACCAGGTGTTTTCCATTAAGAAGTATCACGAGTTCATCGCACCCTACACACGTCTGCTTCCACACAGCAACATCTGCAAGATCTCAGAGGTGGTGCTCGGGGAGGCCAACGTGTACACATTCTTCGAGCGTAACTATGGAGACATGCACTCATACGTGCGCACCTGCAAGAGGCTGCAGGAGGATGAGGCAGTGCGCCTGTTTGGCCAGATGGCAGCCGCGGTCGCGCACTGTCATGAGAACGGTGTCATTTTAAGAGACCTTAAACTGCGCAAGTTCGTGTTCACCGATCCACAGAGGTCAGTAACTTAGTATTTTATTCTTTAATTACTAGCTAATCAAGTCAAACCTGCTCTTGGTAGTAGAGATGCATAATATTAAACGCCAGCAAATATTACAAATATTTTTTTGCACAGTATTGAATTTTTTATTAATTGCGCATTCTCATTTCCCCTATATTTCTTTTAAATTACCTTAGTTGTTTAATACTAACTAAATGCTATATATTTTTAAAAGCATTAATAATTTAATAACATTAGCAAATCTTAAAATTAATATCAATTTTTTTATAGTTGTAATGCTAAATTTAATTGTAGTATTTAAAATGACTGTGTTTTTTATTTAAACAGTATAGAATTTTAATACTGTTATTTACTGTTATTTATTAAAAATAATAATTGGCTTATTGGTATTGGACAGAATTTTAATATTTTTATTGTCATTGTTTATAACAAGATTACTCCATAAAGGTGTTGTTAAATTTAAATAAATAGTATAAACAAACTTTTATATTAACTACTATATTAAATAATGTATAAATGAATTATAGATTAATATAAAATAAATAGTTAAATAATAAAAAAATTGTTAAAACATAGCAATTTAAAAAATAAAATTATGCATTTTTTAAGTGTATAAAATATTAGATCCACACTAATTACAACCTGCAGGATTTGCATAGGCGTTACCTTGTCTTGCTCATTTAGCAAATATTTTCCAGTATTTTTAACGCAGGAGGTAGTTATCAGGTGGCTGATAGATGCTCTTTTGTTTCCTCAGAACAAAGCTGGTCTTGCAAAACCTGGAGGACTCCTGTCTTCTTAACGGGAATGACGATTCGCTGACGGACAAACATGGCTGCCCGGCCTACGTCGGCCCGGAGATCTTAAACTCACAGCACTCGTACTCAGGGAAGGCTGCCGACGTATGGAGCCTTGGCGTGGTTCTCTACACCATGCTAGTAGGACGTTATCCATTTCAGGACGTGGAACCCACAGCACTGTTCAGCAAAATTCGCAGGGGTGCGTTCACCATCCCGGAGACTCTCTCACCCAGAGCTAAGTCACTGGTGTGTTGCATGCTGAGGAAGTCTCCCTCGGAGAGGCTCGAGGCTGGAGATATACTCTTCCACCCGTGGCTCCACTGTAACAACAACGTATCCCTCAACCAGCACTCCAGCACCAGACACTCGACAGATCAGGTGGTGCCTGATTTTGAACCAAATGAGAATGAAGATTGTTAATGAGCTGCTTCATTCTGTTTACCCACAATCGGGGGATTGGACTCTATGGAGGAAGAGATTGCCTCGTAAGGTATGCAGAGTTCAAGGGCATCAATTGGAAGATTCCAGAAACTACGACAGTACTGTTTTTTTACCTTGCGAGGAACTGCTGAGGTGTTCGTGATGGGCCAGAGACTGACCTTGTAGTCTTTACAGACAGATAACGGTGTTTCTTACCTCTGAAAATATCCATTTGTGGTCATCTCTCCAAGAAAACGACACCGGAGGACAAAAAATGCTGCTTTCCTAGCAGACGTTAGTTCACGGCACAGCTTCATTCCTGAAAGAAAGTCATGAGGCTCGTGCACATGATTTTAACATCAGTATTGTCTAATCAGTGCATGGATTTTCCATTGTACACCCATGTTGTGTAAATTAAAGTACCTCTAACTTAATTCCTGGTATACTTGATGCACACTTTGTGCCTTTATGTACTGTTTACATACTTTTGCAGTGGAAAATACAGATTTGACTATTTAAAGTGCCTTTTTTTCCCAGAAAAACAGCCAATGTTGTTGTTGTTGGACTTGTAAGAAGTACCAAAGATTTGAGTTTTTCCTCCCCCAGTCTGAGAGTGTGTATCTGCAACGGGTCAGCACGAGTGCTCATGTTTCCTTTTCATGTGAAGAATTCAAGAGTCTCTTTTGTAAATGTCTTTCCATCTGTTAAACTATGTACTTGTGCTGTAGAGCAGGTTTAACCCTGAAGGGATGTGGGGCAAATCATGCGCCACAGGAAGCATCCATATAATGGTTTAGAGGTGTGCCTGTTGAGCGAAACAAAGGCTTTACATACGTTATCGTTTGTGATGCCTGCATGCAATGCTTTCACCCTTTTTTCGTTAAAGTACCTGTCATTTTGTAGATATCTTTTTGTTACTAGCGATAAGTGGACACTACATTTGTTGTTGTTTCAAGGGTTGACGTACCTACAAACAAGTATTTTGTTGTTGCCAGTACAAATAAAATGAAAAAAAAAAAAAATTTAAGACTGCATTGCTGCTTATTAATGATTCATTATGAGATTTGGCCTGATTAATTACACACATTCAGTACAAAAAGCAGTACTTTTTTTTTTTATTTCAGCAAGGTTTTGTAATAAGAACATGTGTTTTCTGAAGTAAAAATCGCAATCAGTGCACATTAAGTCAGTAAATATTTATTTGACATAGCATTTTGAAAATAACAAAAATGCTCTTTAAAAGAATATTCATAAAAATGTGTTAAGCTGCCAAGAAGGAAATGTTAATGTATCATTAATGCATAAATCTGCATCCAATGGTACTCACCCTTGATTTTTTTTCAGGATTATTACTCAAAACATTTGTAGAAATAACCTATGAAGTTAAGAGCAAAAGTGATCTTACATCTTTCTGCTCGTATCCTGTTCTTATACTGGTGCAAAATTACAAACATAGATGGGTCACAGTCAAATCTAAAACAGAAAAGGAATTCAGTAAGATTGCAACTTCACCACATATGGCCAGATCTTCAAGAGGCCCTCCAACACATAACAGCAGACAACATGAACTATAGCGCTCATCATGAGTAAGTGTTATTTATTCAAGCCATAGTAGAAAGACTAAGCAACAGCACTGAATCTGATCAGACAAATTCGTTCACTATCAAGCTATATGTCAAGCGGGATGTAATAAAGTTAAGAAACAGCCACTGACACCCACTCAAAGTTTATAGATAATCAATATCCACAGAACCATGTTAGATCTACAGCTTTAAACACAACAGCAAACACTATCAAGAGTCAAATGTGTTGTCAGACAATGAAAAATAAGTCACCACAAACAAGTCTTCATGGAAGAAAGCAGAACTGCAATGTTTACTTCACGTTATACACCTCACAAATGTTACGAAATCCAAATAAAAACCAGTAACAACAAACAAAACCTTTATAAAAACTAAACTTTACAGACCCATCATGGTTCTCCTTTCACATATTTATTAGTTTTGGGGGCGCAACTAAAAAAGGAAGTTGATCCATAGGTTAAGACACTAATAAATCTACTGGGCGATGTTTACGCTGATATCCGTTTAAATATAATTTTTTCCTGAGGCAAGAAAGTTGCAGGAAAATATATTAAATCCTACAAAACAAAATGACGCTCATCCATTAACTTCTACTGTAATTAATAGAGAAAAAAATCGGGGATGTTGATATAAAGAAAAATGAGTTATAAGCATGTATAGGCCTCACAAACATGGAAACTCGAAATAACATTTAAATGTGAACTATGACTTACAATCTCTTAATTTCATTTAATGCTCAAAATGCCTTAAAACTTAAAATAAGCTCCAAAAATAAAAAATAAAATAAAGCAGTAAAGGATAACCAGAGACAGAAGACAAGGATGTTGAAGGATGCCACCTAGTGGAAATACTGTTGTAAAGTTCTTGGAGCCATAAAAACTAGTGGAAATAATGAACATGAATAAATGAATGAGGGTTGAGTAACAAAAAAATAAAATAAAAAGACAGAGAGAGGGAGAAAACAGACAGAGAGAATAAACCTTATATACTTGCACTCAGATACAAATAAAATGACCTCTTTGGAAATGTAAAATGGCAAGTAAAAATATCATAACACATGTTCCCTCCAGTGGAATTCAGAGGAACATTAAGAGAATGCAATGGAAAGTACACAGAAAAGTAAAGGAAAATGCTAAAGTGCAATGAATAGCACTCTCTGGATTACCACATCTCTCCATTCTTAAGCAATGACCAACAATATATAAAAATGGAATAAGAAACAGAAAAGAATTACAGGCAATTAAAACTCAGACAAGAGATGCTGGCTTCAGATGACAAGGAGGAGGGCTTCATCAGGCACACAGTGCACCATACCTGTGGAAAGACCCATCAATCTATCATTGACTTCAATGACACAAGCTGCTGCTCGTCAGTCTGGTAATATCAGAGTAATATTGTTTAAAGTTACACTGCAATGTTACTTTTGGCTGTTGGCCATCCATTAGCAAATACACTGGAACCACAAGATTTATTTGCAGTCATTTTTCTGTCAAATCTGAATGATGATAACGCAACAGCCATGGGTGTTCATGATGCAGTACTTCCTAGAGAAGTGATAATAAATAATAACGGTGCAGTTCGCATAGTTCCTCACCTCCCTTCATCCATGTTGCCCTCTTCCTCTTCCTCATAGCTGCCCTCATCTAACTCCAGATCCAGTTCAGTGTCGATGCCAGAGTCTCGTGGAGCCATGAAAAGACTAAAGGATCACAAACACAAAAATTCAGAGCTCAATGGATTTTTTAAAAACTTTTTTTTCCTCCCCACGTTGGACCAGCTGATCTTTAATAATAATAATAATAATAATAATGTAAAATAAATTGTATAAACAGACTACCGTTCAAAAGGCCAGTAAGATTCTTTGCATTTTTTGAAAGAAGTCAGTTATGTTCGCTAAAGCAATATACATGAATAAAAAAAAGTAATATTGTAAAATATCACAATAATATAAAATAACTTGATGTTAAAAAACTGTATAAAAATAAAAGATTCCGCTGATGGTAAAGCTGTTTTTTTTGTTGTTGAATTTCATAATCATTCAGAAACTATTCTAATATCCCAATTTGGTGCTAAAGACCCTTTTCTTATTATTAGCTATGTTAAAAATATTTGTGCTACTCTGTATTTTTGTGGAAACCGTGATACATTTTTTTTCAGGATTCTTTGATAAGGTTTAAAAGAACAGCTTTTATTTTAAATAAAAATCTTATGTACATTATAAATGTATTTACTGCCATTTTTGATCAATTTAATGCATCCATGCGGAATAAAAGTGTTCTTCCACCCCCACATAACATAATATTCAGTCTGTAATAAAATCATTGCCTCTTTCATTACAAAGATAACTTTTTTGTATGTTGATGCTGAATTGCTTTCTACCTGACACAAAGATTCTAACCTGACAGAACAGCATGTGAAGAACACAATCCTCTTCAGTCTTTTGTTATAAAAGAAGTAGTTGAAGGACCACAGGTTGCCTTCTTCCCCATAAGGGTCGGAATCCAGATCTGGATTGTAGCTGTCACAGAATGCAATCAGAGCTTGCTTAATTTAGTGCTGTACAAACAAACACTATTCAAAAGCATTCATCAAATTTTAGACAAGCCTGACTGAACATGGATTTTAAAAGCAGAATATCTACCTGTATATGTCACATTCAGCAAGGCTGATCTCCTTGTCTAGAGCTTCCCATAACTGAGGCTGTAGGTGACTGTACGCCTCACCCGCAGCAGCAGACAAACTGCTGTTCACTGCATTAAACACCTGCGGAAATCATGAATTATGTTTTATAATTCTATATATATAAGAATGAGTGCATATGTTGTTTCAGAAACTGTAACCATTTAACATCAAAATTACCCAATTAACACTGGGCTCCTTGCTGAAATCGTGGCCTTTGGTGCGACTGAAGTCGTAGTCTGGCCGGAAGGATTCATTGAGAGTGGCGATCAGGTAAAAGAGCGTCTTTCTGCTGCACTTGTCCGAAAGAGGACCCTCCCCATCATCCAAACTCTGACTCAGTCTGAAAGTAAAACATATTTCAGTAAATGTGCAATGACTTTCTGGAAGACATGTATTGTATTGTGTGTAAGTGAGGGGGGTACCTCTAGAAAAGTCTTTGACTTACTTGTTGGGGCTGATTCCTGAGCTCTGCGGAGGAGACAGAGCCTCCAGCACATGCGGCTGCCCCTCCTGACAAAACAGCTTAAACATCTGCTTGTCATCACCTGCCATCTTACAGGAGTAGCTCTCAATACTACAGAAACATCACAGCAGTGTCATTAGAACAAAATACTTCAAATAACACTCTGACACCAGAACAGTGTGAATAACACGTCCTTTACTCAGTTCCCCTTTATGTGTTCTGAGTGTTCAGATAGGTAAATGTTGTTTATAAAACCAAGTATTGAGCACTTACCGTCCAAATATCTTACAGTCTCCCGTTTCAATAGTGAGCAGACTGTTTATGGCCTCAAAACCTGAGTTTTCCAGGAGCTTCATGGTTTATTCAACTTTATTATATATACTGACAGAATTGCAATGACTCTTTAGAGCCACTAGATGTCAGTTTCTTTGATAAACAACCATCGGCCTGTTATTCCGCCGTTACACCAAACCAAAACAATGTTTAGCACGTTAGTTTGGAGAATATACGGCTCAAACAGAAATATATCAATAATAAACAACTAGCCAATACTGGGTCATAACCAAATAACCACTAACCTCGATGTATTCTACAGAAGCCCCTTTAAAAACAAACGGCTCTCTATTACATTCAAATGTAAAAAAATAAGCCACCCTTGCAGATTCTTACGACCGCGTAAATAATCTTCTCCGGTTGCTTAATGGACTTCTATGTCTAATAAATATCTCTTCCTTTTTACTGTGAAATTTCCAATACCTGCCATTAAACAAGCTAAAATTTAGAGGGAAATTATGCATCCCAGCTATTGAATCAGAACTTGAGGAGAATTCCAAGGCTTATAAAAGCCTCAATCCTCGGTTTATGGTTGTCTATTTGTGTGGAGGAATGACAACAGCAGAGGACGAGCGTTTGTGTTGCAGTTTTCGGTCGCAGTAATACGCAGTTGCCTTTTCCCTGTGTTTTTTTCGGTCAGGATGTCATAGTGATACAAGTGTTACATGTTTACCGCCACCTGCTGGCTTGGGGTTTAATGGCGCTTCTCTTTTTCCCTGAATCATAACAAAGAAATGTACAATATAGATTCTGTGAGGCTTCCAATGACGAAACATCAGTGATAGCGCATCAAAATCATGGCAAAACAAAGCATTTAATTCAAGTTTTTTTAACAGAGTATTCGTATACTTTTGCATTTCTGAATTTAAATATTCTTAAGCTGTAATTGTAGTGAATATGTTCTATTGTTGTATTTCTTAAGGTCTAAGAAAAACATCTAGAGATTTACATGCTGCACACTTAAGGATTTTAGAGGTTATTTTTTAACAATGCAAAAAAAAAAAAAAAATTGTAGGTGGGATCAGGGCCACCTCGGTCCATTCGCGATTGTGTCCTGGGGGGTGTGGGTTGGTCCCCCTCGGACCCCTCAATACGAGCCCAGTGCATCCGCACCAGTTGCACCTCCCTAAGGACGGCCCTGGGTGGGATGGTATTTTTTTAAATAATTGGGCACAAAAATGCAGCTAAAACTAATGTTGCATCACAAACACCTCAAATATAATATATTTCTAAAAAATATACGTTCTTAAATACTTGCGTTACTACAAGCATTTACATAATATAATGCTTGCTTGATAAATCCCGTTAAAAACTGAAACAATATTTTCTCAAAGACATTTTATTTACAAAGTTGGTTTTGAAGAGGTGCAACTCAACTGAAGACAGACGCTGCAGTAAAGATAACATTTTCACATCCCAGTCCCTTAATGCATGATGTCACTTAATTAAGGTGAATAAAAAGAAAGAGAAGACATGGACGGTCAAGACATTTCCAAAGAAAACAAAACATACAAGTTAAGCAAAGCTGAAGTATTTTCCCTGAGAACACCGCTTCATATTTACACGTTTCATTCAGAAGTCCGAGAAGGAAATTCACTGCTAAAATAATTTGATATTAATTTCACAAAGTGAAAATGTATAGACGGTCCCCAAGGGAATATCATGTAGCATAACATTTCTTAAGTTCTTAAAGGTCTTAATTTATGCAGAAATGAAGAAAGGCGAGCTATGACCTTTAGCTATCTGTCAGACCATTAAACAATAGGACCATAAAATGTTTGCCTAAACTAAATCAAAGGTGAGCAAAATGACCTGTTAAAACAATGTTGATAATGATGTCCAAAGAACATTTAATGGATCATAAATACATGTAACTCAAAACGAAGACTAAGAAAGGTGTGGCCTTAATGTGCCTCTCTAATAAAAAGCTATTTTTCAGCATACACAGTACACAACTGAAAACTTCCTGTCTTTGTAATACATGAGTGATAGTGCTATAACACAACCTCCAACACAATCATTATACCCGAGGCTGTCTTACAATGGCTTGTCAATACCTGCAACAGCTAAATAAGATTTTTTCCTCTTTTTTGACAGCTTTAGGAAGTCAACTAAAAGAAAACAAGAGGACAAGACCTGTACACCACAACTGGTGTTTCTCAAGCACTATTTGATGAAGAAATCATATTTACATCGACAAGAAAAAACCTAAAAGAAACATTAAAACAGATCTATTAGAGCTTGAAAATAAAAAAGTCTTAATTTAAAATGCTGTGGATTAAATGGTGTCACAGTCCTTTCAAATTCATAGTGGCAGTGTTTTTGTAAGAAAACGGATGACATCGCTCATGTCTAACTGTCAATCATTTCTGAGAGTTCTAAAAGGAGGTCGTCCTCTCCCTTGCCCGAATCCAATTCCAAGTCATCCTCAAGCCGATCATCAGTAAATTCATCTAACAGGTCTTCAAAGTCATCCACTGATGAACTGGTAACAACAGGAGTACGACCAGTAGTGGTGCTGGACCGCCGAGGGCGCATGTTGGGTGTTTTGACCACAGGGCTACAAGGGGAAGAAAATATATAAAAACTAAGTAATTGTGTATGTAAATAAATATTACTAATATTTAATTATATAAGGGGTGTAACGGTACACATATTCATACTGAAAATTTTCGTTACGGGTCTTTCGGTTCAGTACGCACGAGTACAGAACAAATCGGTCAATTTTTTCAGGCAATTCAGACAATAAATGCCATTTTGGTGCTCTTTGACATGGTGCAACTGATCACTGTATAAACGCCTCAGTTCTAACCGCAGCGCAGAGCGTGAGTGAGTGTGATCATCCCTTCCACTTTATTACTAGTTTTAACGCGAAACATACATGAATGACTAAAAGGAGGTCGTCCTCTCCCTTGCCCGAATCCAATTCCAAGTCATCCTCAAGCCGATCATCAGTAAATTCATCTAACAGGTCTTCAAAGTCATCCACTGATGAACTGGTAACAACAGGAGTACGACCAGTAGTGGTGCTGGACCGCCGAGGGCGCATGTTGGGTGTTTTGACCACAGGGCTACAAGGGGAAGAAAATATATAAAAACTAAGTAATTGTGTATGTAAATAAATATTACTAATATTTAATTATATAAGGGGTGTAACGGTACACATATTCATACTGAAAATTTTCGTTACGGGTCTTTCGGTTCAGTACGCACGAGTACAGAACAAATCGGTCAATTTTTTCAGGCAATTCAGACAATAAATGCCATTTTGGTGCTCTTTGACATGTGCAACTGATCACTGTATAAACGCCTCAGTTCTAACCGCAGCGCAGAGCGTGAGTGAGTGCGATCATCCCTTCCACTTTATTACTAGTTTTAACGCGAAACATACATGAATGAACATCTCACTCCTCACATAATCACTCAATTGATGTTTCAACCGCAGAAAGACGTCATTAAAACGATTTGTAAACAAAATGTCACGTAGCATTTCATTTACCTCAGGCAAGTCATCAGTGTCTACAGCTCGTTATTTGCTAGAAAAATCAAGTACAGAGAAGAGCATTTCACGAAATGTTGGGAACTACGTACTCATATTTTACTTTAACTGTCAGTGATGTCTTCATTATTTAATGCATGTTTAAATAAATGTTATGAAACAAGTTATGACAGCCACTCTGTAAAATATTATATTTAAACAACAAATAGAAATTGTATAATTTAGAAGCTAATTGATATGTTTGCATTCAGTTTTTTAAATTTGAGTGTTGATTATTAAAGTTAAAAATAAATAGTAATTGAATTTTCATTAAAAAAAAAAAAAAAAAAAATTTTTTGAACACTTTGTTTAGTTTTTTCTCCTGCTGTACAATAAAATACAAACTTTATTTCTATAGCATTTTGTTTTTTCTCCTGCTGTACCGAAACCATACCGAACCGTAACGTCAAAACAAGAGGTACGTACCGAACCGTCATATTTGTGTACCGTTATACCCCTATACACACACACACACACACACAATTTATTATTTAAAAAAAGCATTATGTCTGAAATACATGAGAACAATTTCCATACCTTTGGGGGACCGCAACAACTTCAGGAGATGTAGTACTGGCGGGCTCAATGCAGTTCATAGGCACCATATGAATATCCACGGTGTTGGAAGGCACCTGCTGAGTGTTGGACTTAACATCTGGAGAGGCTGGTGACTCCACCTAAAAAAAAAAAAATCAATCAATCAATCAAACAGTATTCTATATTTTTTCTAATACAGTGACGCACCAGACTTGCCTAACACCTCAATTTAAATAATAAATATACTAACTCTTACCCTAAGGTGCTTGTTGGGAATAACCAGCGAGGAAGGTGTTTGACAGGCAGTGTTAAGAGGTTTCACTTCAGCAACAGCAGAGTGAACTTTTGCAGCTTTCCTCTTTTGGGTAGGCTGGGCTGCCGGCTTTATTACTGACGGCTTCACATTCACCTTGGGCTTCACTGAAATGCAGGCAAATGCAATGGATTGAGTAGGCCATTTGGAAAATTATTCATTTACATTTCTATTTTATACATACAGACACACTTTTTTATTACATAAATATTAGTACCATTGTAAGCATTACTGTCATGTAGAAAGCATTACTGTGTAGAAACAGAAGTTAAATAAACAGTTAAAGAGAGATTGAATATGACCATCAATTAATGTTAAATTCATACCCTTGGTCTCTGTTTGAATAGTTCCCTCAGCTAGCTGGACAGGTATCACGGGAGAGGTTGAGGGCTTCGGTGTGTTTGATCGAGTCGGTGTGTTCGTCGATGGAGTCCTGTCTCCAGAGTGCTCGGGGGAGCTTTTCTGGGGCGTTTCTGGGGCAGCAGGAAGAGGAGAGCTCTTGTTTTTGAGGGCAATCCGCTTTCTCACGGTTGTTTGTGGTTGGGCAGAGGGTTCAGAGGCTGGCGGTGAGGCTGCAGGTGCAGACAGTCCTGCGTCTTTCTGGTTGGTGGAGGTGACTTGCTCCTCCTGCAGCTTGCGGAGTCTCTTCTCTCGCATGATCTCCTCAAACGTTTTTACTTTAACGGTCTCACTGGTGGGTTTACCTTTTCCATTTGCCTGCGAGTTGAACGGAGCAAACAATTATTCGAGAAACAATAATATTTAGATATGCCTGTTGTTCTGTGTTTAATTTGTAGCTTACCTCTATTGCAGGTTCTGATTTCTTATCAGGATCATCTGGTTTTGTCTGACCCACAGTGCATGCAGCTGCTGGAAAGAATTAACAGCTATGTGAACACACTTCTTTGGGCATATGAGGTAACCATTTCAAACTAGGAAAACATGAATGTGTCTGACTTACATGAGCTTTTATTAATGCGTAGAATGCGCCTCTTTGGAGGTCCACTTGACTCTGCTTCAGTTGAGGTCGGGGTCTTATCGTCTGTGGTCTCTTGAAGCTGTGCCTGCATCCGGGCTGCCTTTTCCCTGCGTATCTCCTCCAGCGTTTTTACTCGTACCTCCCCAGCTGCCACAGGAGCCTTGACCGCAGCTCCGGCAGTGGAAGGTCCTTCATTCCCCTCTGGGCTTCTGGCTGTTGTGCTCACTTCCTGGGCTTTTTTTTCCTGCATTTTTTTCTTTTCGAGAAGGATTTCAGAGAAGGTCTTAACTTGAGGTCCGCCAGCGGGTTTGACACTTTTCTTGGATGGGCTCAGCGCCTTCACCGGCACTTCTTTCACAACACGCACAACTTTAATTGTGTTGAGGTTTTTGGCTGCCTTCTCTTGCCGAATCTCCTCGAGGGTTTTTATACGGATATCTCCAGATGATTTTGGCTCGCTGTCAGTGCTAGACGAGGCGGCAGTCAACCCAAGTCTTTCACGCACTGGTTTCGGAGCTATAAAGAGATCAGGAAAAAAGAAATTATGAAAAAGATACAAAAGACCCACACAACTAGAGCTGCCACAATAAACAAATCTTTCACCTTTCTGTGGTAGCACGTCTGTGGAGGATTCAACAATTCCACCGAGACGTTCAGCAAGGCGTCGTTTTAAAGGTAGGTCTTCCTCCACAGGAGCATCTTTAATTAAACGACATCATCATCTTTCAGTTTTTGTAAAAAGGGGTCGCAGATACATAAATGTGAAGCAAACGGTTTTCATAAACTTACCTCTGGACAAAATTCTTTTCCCAAGTCTGTCCGCAATTTTTCTTTTTCCAATTTCATTAACAGATGAATCTGCAACAGATTTTAAAATTATTGAATGGTTCGATACTGTAAAAAAACAAAAGTTTTAAAACCTTATGGACCACTCACCAATGCTGGCATTGTTAACTTCCCGATGTGAGAGAGACTGAATGTTTTCCTTTTCAATAGCAGTTCCTTTGTTTTGGGCTGAGCCTTGCATGGTGGACTGCCCTGCAACCAAATGAAAAGCGAATATTAAAATGATCCATCAGATGGCTTAACAGCAAAACTTACCCAAACAAATAGTGCTGAGGGTTAATTTACCAGATTTCTTCAAACTTGCCATGAGTGCTTTCCTCAATCTGATCTCCTCTAGTGTCTGGATACCAAAGTTCAGCGAATCATCTGCATGACCGATAATGATTAAATAAAGCTCCTAATATATAAAAGAAAATATCAACAGAACATGGAAACAATCTTTACTTTTGCTTGGGATCATTTTTCGGGGTGATCCTCCAAGAGATTCATCTCCTTCCTCTGAGAATTGATCTGCAAATATTGAAGTAAAAAGACAGTGAGTATTTCTAGACGAGGGATGCAAAACTCTATTCTTATTGGTCCATCTGCAGCCCATAGCTCCAACCCTAATTAAGCACACCTGAACCAGCTAATCAAGGACTAATTAAGGGTTGGAATCAACCACGAACGGGATTGGACAGCCTGTTCACAGAAATGTGAGCTCACCATCCTCATCGTCGTCATCGACAGGGTTGATGACCACTGGTGGATGGGTAGGGCTGGGGACATTCTCTTGGGTCTCAGTTCTAATGACCCCTCTTAACTGCGGGTTAGTGGGGTTTGCAGTGGGCGCAGGGACTTGATTGACTTGGTCCTCGAGTGGGGTCTCTTCCTTCTCCTTTCGCACTACTTGTCCTATTTAAAAAAAGACAAAAAGGCCAGTTTATATTAGAAATTTATAAAGACCGGTATAGTTCAAATTACTGTAAAGACAACAAAATACCTTTGTCTGGGGCAAAATAATTCCCATCGATGACGCGCGGCTTCTCATGATGGAAAGCACAGTGAGGTTTCTGGCAGCCAGCCAGCTGGTTCTCCCAATAGCATGCGATTTCCTTGCGGTTTTTCTATAAAAGTAATAACAGGGTGGATCATTATTGAGGTCCCATTTGAGAAACAATGGAAGGATCTTAACAGAAAGAGGTTTTGGAATTGGTCACAAACCTTTATTTCCATATGGCGAAACATGCAGACATTACGGAAGCACCTTTGCTCTTGCCACAGGGTGCAGACCGTCTCGCTACCCATGGCGTCCTCGCAGTGTCGAAAAGGGCAGCTGTTACCCTTAAAAGGCAAAGCGCAACACCAAAAATTTACTTTTAATTATGATCATAATTTTGTTTATGTATGTGTGTATATAGAAAACCTTTTCATATTACTTTCCATATTAAATCTTTATTTAAAAATGTAATATTTTATTTAAAATACATATCTAAATATATACATGTGACCCTGGACCACAAAACCAGTCATAAGGGTAAATTTTTTGAAATTGACATTTATATATCTACTCATATATATGAATAAATAAGCTTTCCATTCATGTATGGTTTGTCATGATAGGACAATATTTGGCAGAGATGCAACTATTTGAAAATCTGGAATCTGAGGGTGTAAAAAAATCAAAATACTGAGAAAATCGCATTTAAAATTGTCCAAATGAAGTTCTTAGCAATGCATATTA